AGTCCCTGAACTCTGTGTCCACTTTTGTCATCAAGGAGGTGACAAGTGTTCCCGCGAGGTGACACATTCCCGCAGGCGGGGAGGTCCCCACCTCCCCATTGTGCCCCATAGATCCCCCTCCCCTGCCCCACAGACCTTCTCCTCTGCCCCAGAGAGCCCTTATACAGCCCCATAAGTGCTCCATAGAGCCACAGAGAGTCTCCACAGATCCCCAGGGAGACTTTTTAGAGCCCCACAGACTCCACAMAGACCCCCATAGAGGCACTACCCCCACCCCTCCTCGGCCCGAGTGAGGCGGGGGAGGGGAGCCGCCCGGACGCCGGGGTTCCCTGGGGTCCATCATGCGGCGCCACCAGGACTGGGGACAGATGGGGCGACAGATGGACCGGGGATAGGAGTGGGAGGGGGAAAGGGGGAGGGACAGAGGAGGTGGGGGGGGAGGAGCAGGCAGGAGATGAGGGACACTGGGACATAGAGGACGTGGAGGGACCGGAGGCACATGAAGGAGGTAGAAGGACTGTGGGAGATGAAGGAGACACGGCTGGTGGGCCAACAGGAGTGGGATGATGGATGGAAAGTCCAGAGTGATGGAGGGGCATGGGACCAAAAGTCAGTAGGGCATGGCGGTGGGGTGTGTTGTGGGACATGGTGTGAGGTGGGACTGTGCAACTGGTGGCTAGGGGAACACTGAGGGCAGGATAGAGGGACATCAGCACCTGCAGCAGGAGAAGGTGCAACCTCATGAGCCAAGACATGCCCGAGGGTTCCACTCAGGCTCTGCCCCATATCTAGGGGTCCCAGCTGCTGTCCCCCACCTCCTAGGGTGCCTCTCTCCCCACCCCCACATGTGTCTTTCCCCACATGTGTATTTAGGTTGATGTGGAGCAGGCAGATGTTACAGAACACTGTGGGGCAGGTTGAGGTTGAGGCACAGCCCATGATTCACATCACACTGCGCTATGGGTCTGGTTGCATCATGTTGTGGGGTGCACTGGGCTGCACTGGTTGGTGATCTTGTGTGGGCTACAGCCATCTTGTGGGTGCAATGTGGGTGACCCCACCCTCCCTCCACAAACCCAGCCCCACGCAAACTACTGCTGCTCAATGTTTTTTATTGGCTGACCAAGGTTAGGGGGCTGGGAYTGGGGCTGGGCCTCTTGGAGGTCCAGGGGATAGTGTTGGAGGTCCAGAGCTTCACTCCTCGTTGAGTCCCTTCTGATGGAGAARGAGAAAAAGGGAGTGTGATCATGGGGCTRTTGTGGGRCAGCCATGGGGCAGCTCTWGGGCAGGGRAAAGGTCCCACCTTGGCTCCCATGTCACGGCTCTTGGCCCGCAGCTTGTTGACCTGGGACTCGGCGATGTCGGCACGCTCCTCYGCCTCATCCAGCTCGTGCTGCACCTTGCGGAACTTGGCCAGGTTGGAGTTGGCCTGTTCCTCCTGAGGARACAGGGRCATCCARGGGGCTCCCACATAGCTCTGTCTGGCCTCCTRCCATCCCGCCAGCTTCCCCCCATCTGACCTTATTGCTCCCACCGTCTTATCCAGCCCACCTGTTCCTGCCAGACATGCCTTCTTCCAGCCCCCCAGCTATCTACACAACTAACCATCCATCTAACATTCCATCTACCCATCTACCCATCCATCCATCCATCCATCCATCCATCCATCCATCCGTCCGTCCGTCCGTCCGTCCGTCCGTCCGTCCATCCATCCATCCTTCCTTCCTTCCTTCCATCCATGCACCCACTTGTCTCTTGACCTTTCCTTCTTACCCCCTGACACCACATGTCTCTTGACCACCCTTGTACTCCCCACATCCTCTCTCATACCCCAATCCCACCATGTCCCCTCCTGGGGGGTTGATCCCACAGATGTCGCCTCAGTGCTCACCGCCTCCTCTGCCTGTCGCTTGTAGGCCTTGACCTTCATTTGGAGCTTGTCCACAAGGTCCTGGAGTCGGACCAGGTTCTTGCGGTCCTCTTCTGTCTGTAGGGTGAGATAATGTGGGTCAGGACCTGACCTTAGCTGTGTTTTGGGTCACCACCAGAGCAGTGARGGTCAGGAGTCAGTTAACAACCTTCTTGGGAATGGAGCCTCTCTAGATCTGTGGGTGGGCTTAGCTGTGGGGCAGAAAGTGGGTTGTCCCACTGTGTGAAGGTGTCTYCTTGCCCCTGATGAGGTCCCACCTGAGGTTCTGGATCATGCAAAGACCCCATGGATGCTGGGATACCAAGAGGTAGCCTGGATGGCTCATGACCACTGAGCCAGCCATGTTTGGGTCCCATTACAGTATCAGGMATAGAGRCAGTGGGTGGTCTAGTTCAYGTGKGTCTATCTGGCTGGCAGGRCAGCCATGTTCTAAGTCATGAATGGCATGAGAAATAAGGTGCTGTGGCYACAGGGAYRRTGAATGAGCTCTGGCACCACCTCAGRAGCCCSACCTGGTAGCTGAGCTCCTTGACGCGRCGCTCAGACTTGCGGAGACCCTTGACACTTTCGGCATGGCGCTTCTGCTCAGCCTCCAGCTCRTTCTCCAGCTCCCTCACACGAGCTTCCAGCTTCTGCAGCTGCTTCTTGCCCCCCTTGAGGGCCAACTGCTCAGCCTCATCCAGCCTCATCTGCAGGTCCTTGATGGTCTGCTCCATGTTCTTCTTCATGCGCTCCAGGTGGGCACTGGTGTCCTGCTCCTTCTTCAGCTC